AGAACTCCCAATCGATTAGTTCTGTTCTGAATTCTAATTCTCGTTCTGAGAACTAGTAAGGAGGAAGTATGTATATACAGTTATATACTGATCTGTATATAGTAGTACTTCGATTCGTGTAGTATATATATATATAGTATACTGTCTGATACTCGTACTCTMGTGTAGTACTAATAGTACTGGTAGTACTATATAGTTTTCGATACTATATATATAGTTTTGGGTCCCGGGGACTCATGATTGGATCCACGAGTGATCCTCCGTACTGTTCCTACAGTACTCGTTGCAGCGTTTGTACTAGTACTAGTAGTACACCAGTCCTGTACCAAGAGCATAGTGATATGCCCTATTAAGAATTAACCCGACGTGCTACTAATATGACTATATATAACTATATACATGGATGTATATATATACGTAATTAAAATACTCATGGAATAATAAAGTACATATTAATTCTAATCCGTTGGAAAAAAATGTGATCAAAACTGATCACAAAAAATTGTGATCAAGAATTTCATCAATTTTGTGATCATTTCTGATCACATTTTTTTGTGATCAAAACCGATCACAAAATGAAAAAAGGGGACCGGAGAATTTATTTTTTTCTAAAAACATCGAAATCGACATGGTTCCAGAGAGCAATAAGTAATAATTTCAAGTTCTAAACTTTGATTTACGAAACTCGTAGTAGTAACGTCGAACAGACGAATTCTGACAACCACGACCGACAACCTTACTGTATCCCGTTTTCTCATTGCGATGACGTACGGTACCTACCTAAGGTGTCATAGTACGGTACCGTAGGTATAAATTTCGGATTTCTGAAGCAAAAAGCAGGGCCCTCAGGTACCCACGCGCACATCCCCCTTTTCGAATTCCTCCCCTAGAAAAACGTGGGTTATTTTTGGTGAAAAATAACCCACGTTTCTAAAACGTGGGTTATTTTGGTGAAAAATAACCCACGTTTCTAAAACGTGGGTTTTTTAATTTGAAAAATAACCCACGAAAGAACCCAGGAACCCACAAATAACCCACGAAAGAACCCACGAATAACCCACGAATTTACAGTCATCTGGGTTGATGGAGAACCAAGGGTGTTAAGTATTTTAGTCATTAACGTTATTTAATCACTGTTTTTAATATTTTGAGAAAGGCCCAGCAGGTTTGTGGGTTTTTCGTGGGTTATTTCGTGGGTTATTCGTGGGTTATTCGTGGGTTATTCGTGGGTTATTTGTGGGTTAACCCAACCCAGGTTTTAAATCGTGGGTTATTGTTTGGGAAAAAAAACCCACGTTTTAGAAACGTGGGTTATTTTTTGTGAAAAAAAAACCACGAAATCATACCCCCGATATTAGATTTCAAAGGGGGGACGCGCGCGCGTTGGTTCCGGAGGGCCCAGAGCGTTCACCTTTAACCGGACCAAACGCGGTTTCCTTTCTTTGTTTCGAACATTTCTTCTTTTTGCGTCGTCGTCGTTTTTGTTGGCTTGGAGGTTGCAATGGATGCGTTCGTCCTTCGGGACCGTTCTCGGGGTGGACGGTTTTCACGACTGTGTCCAATCACGGAGAAAGCGCCGCCGCCGCCATCTTCTTCGGCGGTGAAAAATCAGATCCGTTCCGTTTGGATCCGATCGGTTCATCGCCCCGAGCCTCCTTTCCACCGTGCGAGGGCGTTGTCTGCGTGGGCACGACCAACGGCTCCCACCAGGGCGGGAATGCATCGTATCCCGTCTCCTGGAACGGAACGGCCGGAACGCGGTTGGAATCGCACACGACGGTGCCGGGCTATTCCTCTAATCTCACCGCGGAGGCGGACCTGGCACAGATCACCTACTATATCTGGACGGACGTCTTCTTTGGCGACGAGTCTCTCGGGCGAATGTACCAGCTGGTCGCGCAGCTGATTCTCGGATCGGCACTGGGAACGTCGGATCGGGGCGAATCGCTGTCTCCCCGCGCGGACGGTTGTTAGGAGTTTGCGAGGTGGCTGTCGGGTCGCGGAGGTTCACGACCGCCAGAGGCAGACGGTGCTTGCCGAGATCGGTGTGGTATGTGGATCGTGCGAGCGCCAAGCCGTAGCACAAACCCCAATGCCCTTGGGTTGCCTCGAGTGGGTCTGTTCGGGTTAGTCCTAAGTACAGTATGGCAAAATGATCACTAGTAGTGTACAGTATTGTTACCCACTGGCATCGTCGATTATGTATAGCCGCCATCTTGGTGTGAACCGGGTTCGATGGATTCGGCAAAACATCGTGCAAAGCGCTATGACACGGCCCACAACGGGCAAAACGCTCCGGCCGCTTCGGATCGGTTCTGCCACCCCTCGCGCTCCCGGGTCGACGGACCGGAAACCCCCGGCCCCGCGGAGGAGATGGATGGATGGATKGATGGATCGATCGATCGCAGCGGTGGGCCTTTCCCGCACCCGCGTGCATCGAGCGAACGGCTCACGCCGCGCCCAGGAGCAGGGAGGCCAGAAGGGCCGCCGGGAGGACCCCCAGGCAAAAGCCCAGGCCCAGGTGCAGGCCCAGGGACCACGGCGGGTCCTTCTCGAAGGGGGCCAGGCAGGCCTTTCGGAGGGGCATTCCTTGTGGCGCGGTGGAAACGTACAGGGCCAGGGCCCAGGTCGCCGGCCCGGCGGTGGCCACCAGCGCAGCAACCACGGGACCCACGGCGGAAAAGGAAACCAGGAGCGGCCCGGAGGCGACCAGCCCGCAGGCCCCGAGGTCGTAGAGCGGGTGCTCGGGGAGCCACCCGAGGGAGGCCTTTGGGTCGGCCGGCGGGGGACAGGGGCTTCCGCTTCCTCCCCGGAGGGCCCCGACGTGGGTCCCGAAGCAGGCGTCGAAGTTGATCCCCCCCGAGTAGTTGCACTCGCCGTACCGGTGGTGCAAATAGTGGGCGAGGTCGGCCGAGAAGTGGTCCTCGTAGCCCGAGTGGGAGGCCGCCGGGGAGAGGACGGCGTGGAAGCCCGTCCAGAAGAGCAGAAAGGGCCAGTGGACGGCCCCCGACCAGCGAGGGGGGAGGAGGGCCGGGAGGACCAGGATCGGCCCGTAGCAGGTGTAGTAGTACGCGTGCTCGACCGGGTGCATCGCCAACCCCGAGAAGGGCTCCGTGTCGGTCGTCCGGTCGTGCAGCGAGTGGACGTACTTGTAGAGGCACCGGAGGTGGATCAGCCGGTGGCAAAAGTAGAAGTGGACGTCCCGGTAGGGCGGGATTGCCACCGAGAGCAGCAGGGTCCACACGAGCCCGGCCGCGGTGGTGGTAGTAGTGGTTGTGGCAGTGCCTTCCTGCGGAAGGGGGAGCCCCCCGGTCCGCCACAGGTGCACAAAGGCCCCCTCGACGAGGGTCCACTGGGCGATCCCCAGCACGGTGTACAGAGCGTTGTGGAGGACCTTTCGGGCGTTGTAGGTGCGGTTGGGGACAAAGGGCCGCTTGCAGATCCCGTGCCCGTACAGGACCCAGTGCCAGAAGCCGATGTAGGCCAGCGCGAAGCAGAGGTTGACCGGGAGGCGCTCGAGCAGGGCGTCTAGGGGCCGAAAGCCCCCCGTTGGTGGCTGATGCTCTTGTTGCTGCTGCTGCTGCTGCTGCTCCAGGTCGTAGGGGGCCACCCACCAGCAGCAGAGTGCCATTGCAAACCACGTGGCGTTGGGGCTGTAGAGAAAGGCGGACCCGGTGAGGATCGACCGGAGTGTCTCGCGGAGGGTGGCCGGAGGCGGCGGGACCGCCGTCCCCGGAAGCTTCGGGGCATCGGAGGTGGCCGTCGTTGCCCCTGTTCCGTCCGACCGGAAGAAGGATCCGTGGGAGAGGCCCCCGAGCCCGCTCCACCAGGCGTCCGTCATGCTTTTGTCGCCGCCAATCCGGGCATGCGATGCGATTGGATGCGATGCGATGCGTTGCGTTGCGGTGGGCTTGGACTCTCCTTTCAATCGGCAGCGCGGGTCTTGTTTCGGTGCTTTACAACCAGATGCCTGCGTTCTGTTTCTTTTTTTCTTCCTCGTGACTGACACCCTCCGAAGCGTCGTCAAGATTTTTTCGAAGTTCCTTGTGGTTGTTCGGTACGGATACTCTCGTACCGTACGTACCCTACCGTACTGTATTCCAGGCATACGAAAGGGTGAGAGGTAGGAGGCATGCGGATACCTTTGACCCATTTGACTCCTATATTGACGTTCAGTGCCGGACAGCACAGTACGAGTACAACATACGTACGGTACCGTACCAACAGCACCGTCGACGAGTTCCCAAATACGAAATACGTCCCAATGCAACGAACGGTTAGGAATACTGGTATCGAGTCTTACGGAAGGAAAAGCAACGTTGGAGTAGTATTACTCATACGCAATCTACGTAGGTAGAAGTGGCATTGCGGCGAAGGTCTTCGCGGATGGGTTTTTGTTGTGGTTATTAAAAGAACGATCATTTCTTGATTGGATTCTACTTTTTTAAAAGGGTTTATAATAGCCCTTCCATACATGATCAGTATATATAGAACGCGAGGTCACCAAAAGTGTTTGTTTTGGTCATCAACGGTTTTATTTTGTCGAGGGAGTTCAAGTACGGCCTTATGGAATAGCGCGTACGGCTTCATATTAGTATGTCCGGCAGTTTAAGGCATCCTGGTAGCGCTTCGTTTGGGGTGGTCGTCGCGCCGCGTCTACGAGTACGAGTGCGTACTGTACAGTACAAAATACTGTCATGTCCCAAACGGTCACCTACCGTACCGTACGGTTTGGCTGTGTATGGCTCGAACAACGGAACACCCATTGCAACTCCGGAAAACTTTGTCGATCGAATTCATCCCCCGGCCGCGCCTCCACGGACGAATTTGTATCTCACAAACGACTCACTGTCAATTTTGATGCGGACCGACCAAAACGAGAGAGTTCATATAACAACCGAGCAGAGCAGAAGACAGCACAGCACAGCGTAGCACAGCATCGCCGCCATCGCCATCATCCATTGCACACAAATTTCGGGAAACAACGAGCACCGCAGAGCAGCCACATCCACATCCACAAACGCAAACCAACGACAAAGGCACCAACAAGGAAACAAAACAGAACGGCGGGTGACCAACAAAGACAGCGGCACGACGAAGAATCAGACTGCGCATTCCGGTGGAGAGACTACCAACAAACACAGCCTAGCGACAAGCACCACACCACACCACGCCAAGCAGCACGCCAAGCAGCACGCTACACTACACTACACTACACCACAGCGCAAAATGTCCGACGAGATGTTCACGACGCCCTCGGGCCGGCTCGAGGAGGGGGGGTTGGGCCCCTCCGACGCGGGCGGCTTTGCCACCCCCGAGGGCAGCCTGGGCGGCGCCGCCCCCAACACACCCTACCTCAGCGAGCCGCCGGCCTCGGGTGGCCTGCGGCAGGGGGAAGGCAGCGCGAGCTTTGGAAGCTCGTGGACCGAGGGCCAAGGTGGGAGCACCAGGGTCGTCCTGCTGGTGCTGGGGGCCTTTGTGGCCGTGGTGGTTGCGGTGGCGGCCGCGGTCCGGATCTGGAAGCGCCGGAAGCGGCGCAGGGCCATGGAAAAGAACCGGGCCCTGGCCCTCTCGAACAACCTCCGCTTCTACGCGAATTCCGAGTGCAGCAGCCAGGGCAGCATTAGCATGGGCCTCCCGCTGGCGCGCAAGAAGGGACGGAAGCAAAAGCACTCCCACCGAAGAAAGGGAAGCAAGGCGGCCGCCTACCGCTTCGGGACCGGCCCGACCTACTCGGTGGGCTCCTCGTCCGGGGACGACGGCTGGCACGACGAACGAGACGACGACGACGACGACGACTCTGCCGACGTCGAACGGGGCAGCCGCCACCGCGACTGGCTCGGGGGCGTCGGCTACGACCCGAACCGCGAGGCGGAGGGGATCGACTTCGACTCGGATCCGTCCACCCAACACCCCGACGACTCGGACGCCATTCTCAACAACAGCAGCAGCGACGGCGGCGGCAGCAGCAGCGACGACGGGAGCGCGGTCCTCCAGCACCGGAACCCGGTTCGAACCAAGCCCCCCACCGATCTGCTCTCGGACCTTCCGGTCCCTTCGGCCGTGGAGGTCGGCCCGGACCCCCTTGCGGCCGGGAGCGAGACCGAAAAGTCCACCGCCTCGACGGCCCGGACCCACAGCAGCAAGTCGCGGTCCAGGGCCAAGGCCAGGCCGTCCTCATCCTCGTCGACCTCCAAATCCGACCTCCAGAAGGAGCAGGAAGCCCTCAACGCCATGCTCTACGAGCTCAGCGACGAGCTGGTCCGCCAGCAGCGCGAGCTCGAGGAGGCCGCCAAGGCCATGTCCAAGAAAATGACCCGCCGGAAGCACAAGGAATGCTACAACCACCACAAGAAGATCAACGACGAGATCGCCAGGCTGGAAAACGAGCGCAGAGACAAGAAGGAACGCCTCAGGGCCGTCCAGAAGCAGATCAAGTCCCAGCGGAGGGAGCGCCGCAAGAAGCTCTTCTCGGAAGACTACGGCCAATAGGGGTGGCACCGTAGCACGACCACGATGCACACACAATGCATGCGATCCACACGACACACAAACCAACACACACACACATGCACACGAATACACGATATAGCATTAGATAAGTACAATATTCTTAGGGAATCCATGATTCCATTCCTTTGTATTGGATCAGCATCGACCTGCAACCCTTGTATCGTAGTTCGTTTCTTCTCTTTTCTTTCGAGGTGCGGCAACGCAACGGGCCTGCTTGCAAACAAAGCCATGCGGCTAGTCTTCCCCCCGGGGAATAAATATATCCGGTCGTTCGGTGCAGGCAGCGCTTTTGCGTGGTCAGAAGAAATGCCCAAAAACAAATCCGGTGTTTTCATTTCCAGCGCAACCAAACGAACGAGGCTGCAATAGTACAAATACCACCACGCTTTCTCTACAGCAGCAATCAGAACCGCATCCGGATGGTTCGAGTTCGAGCAATGCATCGATCGCCCATGGTTCGTTTTGCACCGGCAATCCCACCAACGACGAGAGCGGCGCTCTTCTTCCCCCGTTGCGAGCGTCGAACCGAACCGGGCTGCTAGGCCGCCGGCTTGGCAAGCAGCCGGTTCTTTTCTTCCAGGTGCCCCCGGTAGTCGTCCATTTCCCCGTCGGTGAGGAGGCAGCCGTCCAGGGCCTCCTCGATCTCCGACCGCCGCAGGCCGACCCCGATGAAGACGACCTCCTGCCGCCGGTCCCCGAACTCCTCCGTGCAAAAGTCCTCCCGCAGGATCCGCGCGCACTCCGAGGGGTTCTGCGTCCTGGCAAAGAACTCCTCCATGGACGGCCTCGGGACCGACGCCCAAAAGGGACCGGCGGGCTCGATGCCGACGTGTTTCCCGGCGTGGCTCCAGTACATGGACCGGTCGTGGCGCCAGGCGTCGGCCAGCAATCCGTCCCAGGCGGTGGGGGCGATCCAGCAAAAGCCCTTGGACCGGAGGACCCCGTCGAAGGGGCTGTCGTCTTGTTGTTGTTGTTGTCGTTGTTGTTGTTGTTGTCGTTGTTGTTGTTGTTGTTCTCCTCCTCCTGCTCCTCTTTCGACAAGAGCTTGTTCTTCCTCTATGGATGCATCGCTAGAGACCAAGGCAAAATCGAGTTCGTTTTTGATGGGGATCGGCCAATCAAACAACAGTTTCCTCAACCGCGTGGCATCGAACGGCCGCGTAGCCCTGTACACAAAGCTAGAAATTCCCAGATTCGCCAGAGAGGTCGAGTCTCGGTCGTGGGAATGCGAGTGCGAGTGCGAGTGCGAGTGCGAGTGCGAGTGCGAGTGATCCGTGCAGTTTGGATCCTCGCAGCTCTCGTGGTCGTGCGAATGCGAGTGAGATGGGTCCATGCAGTTCGGATCCTCGCAGCTCTCGTGGTCGTGGGAATGCGAATGCGACGGGTCCGTACAGGCTGCGTCGTCGCAGGCATCGTGATCGTGATCGTGGGAATGCGAATGCGAATGCGAGTGAGAATGCGTATGAGAATGCGTATGAGAATGAGAATGCGACGGATCAGTGCAGTCCGCGTCGTCGCAGGCTGCATCGTGGTCATGCGAGTATGCGTCAAGCGAAGGGGAATCCGCGTCTTTTCTGCTGGAATGCTGGTGTGTGTGCGAATGGGAATGGGATCCGTCTGCGCTTTCCTCCTCTTGCTCCCGAGAATCGGATTCTTCCAAGTCGGATGGCCATGGCAATCCCAGGAGCTTGGTTGCCGAAATCTTCCCGTGGTTCGTGGTCAGAATCTCGGCCTCTTCGTTCAGGCCCTCGACCATGCGTCTCGCGACGTCCGTCTTCGTCTCTCCCGCTAGGTCTTGCTTGTTGACCACCACGAGGTCGGCGGCTTCGACCTGTTCCACCAGCAAATAAGCAACCTGCTTGTTTCCGGAACAGTTGTTGTTAGGTTGCAGCCGCTGCCGTTCGCTGGTGTTGATTGTGGTGGAACTTTCGCCGCCTAGCCATCCGTCTCGGTCCCTCAAGACGTCGTAGGTCATATAGTCGGTTCCAAAAGTGGTCGCATCCACGATCGTAAGAATCCTTCCCAGCTCGGCCTGGTTGGTAACCCCGGGATGGGAATCGGTTGCCACGGCTTCTCTCCAGTGGTTGCGGATCGCAAGGGGATCCGCCACCCCTGAGAGTTCGACCACGATGGCCTCGTACGGGGAAGTCGCTTCGGAATCCCCGCTGCCGATTCTAGGCCGTAGGAGCGACTCGATGGAGTCAAACAATTCGCCGGCGAGGGAGCAGCAGGCACATCCGTTCTGGAGTTCCACGACGTCGTTGCGGCTGGCTTTGATAGGTGGCTTTGTCGCGGTTGCCTCCGACGAAAAAGCATCCGCGGAGGATGCATCCTTCTGGGCAATCAGTTTGGCGTCGATGTTGACGCTAGCAACGTCATTGACAACGACGCCGACCCGGACATCTTCTTTGTTCTCCAGGACATGTTTTAGGGTCGTAGTTTTTCCACTTCCCAGAAATCCAGCTAGCAAGTGAACAGGAGTTTTGTTCTTGGCGGCTTCCCGCTGTTGTTTTGTAGTGTTGTTAGACGGCTTCTCTCTTTGGTTTAGAGAATCCACATCGTCTCCCTCCTTCTCTAACTTGTGGTTTACATCAACCGGTCTGGATTGGAGTGAAGACACCAACTGCCGAGGCTGTGCGCTGGGACTTTTCCGATGGGGGTGGACGAAACAAAAACCACTTGCGCTAGGAGTTGACACGACAACAAAAACAAATACCGCCAACAGAACGAGGACTTTCGTTTTAGAAATTGGAGGTCGCATAGCTGTCGGTACTTCTAATACTCCTGTAGAATCGACTTAGGGCATCGACGAGATCTTCCGAATCTTTGAGTTACGATTAACAACGATATTGTATTGCACGGTAGAACAGAGAGAAATCAAATAGAACGAGTGCAAGTACGAAGAAAAGTATCGTACCGATATTGTGGACGAGGCAGAGAGAGAAGGGGGTGATTGTTTGTGATGTGATGTTGTTGTACTAGCGTATGTACTGGCACGTTACGAGATACGGGTTACTGTATCGCACTAGGTACTAGAGCTACTAGGTACGAGATAGACGTACTGGTAGGTCGAAGCCGGAAGAAGATAGTTTCAACGACGCGCACACCATGTACCGGTACTTCGAGCGAGTACGAGTATAGTACGTACGGTACGTACGCACATATTGCTATGTCCTTCTCGTTTCTCGTACCGGTAAGCATGTTCTTATTTTCTGTCAATCAACTTAATCCGACTACAAACGAGTCGAACAAGTCAATTCTTCCTGGAGTTTCTCCAAGCTTTAGGTACGGGACAGCAGGGGTCCTAAATTATGACCCCTGAGGTACAGTACCGTACGTACGGTACCATATGTACTTCGGGATATTCAATATGTTGTGATTTCGAATTTCGACCCCCAAACCCCAAACTAATCTTCCCAACGCTCAACGCTCCGACGTAAGGTAACAGTAGTATTCGTACGTACGATACCTACCCGTAGGCCGTACTTAATAACGTTCGTTTGCTTGTTCGCGCACTAATTCGCTAACTCTTCCTCCATTAACAACCTCGCCGCCGACCTGTCACCATTTCCGCAGAATCCATCAGAAGTTCGGTTTGACATCAACGATCCATTCCATCGTATCCTTCCGAAAGACAAAATTACTGAAAATAAAATTTGGAGTAGTTGTCACCTGTGCACCATCCAGCCGAACAACTGACAATTCATATTCATACAAGCCATGTGCAACAATACCAGCAAAAGCAATGGAACCAATCGAGATGCTGGCTCGGGGAGCAGCAGCACCAGCGACAAACATAGCGACACGACGAACAGCATGCAATATTCCGAAGTCAGCTGCGGCGGTAGCTGCACGTACCGAAAAATAGCCGAGTGTGCGCTAGGACTATCCCTACCGCTGTGGTCAACCATCGCCGTCCAGGCCGATTCCTCCTCTTGCCGGGTGTCGCGGCTTGTTGTTTCTACGATGGTGTTTTACGGGGGACAGTATGCGTTGCTAAGGCATTTTGGGGGTTTGCTCCAGCCCCCTCTCGAGGTATGGCAATGGAACAAAGAACAAACATCAAGCATGGCCACACGTGCAGCTTCGGAATGGAGGTCGCGGCTGCTGGCCATATTCAACGCTCTGGTCCTGTCGTACGGAAGCCTTCTCTGTTTTTTGGAATGGCCTTCCTACTACCCCGAATCAGAGGGATGGATAAAGACGGAGGATTCAAGTTCGAATTGCTTCTCGTCCCATCCCGTTACCTTTGCCAGTCTCTTTGTGGGGTACCTACAGTGGGATCTTTGCTGGCTCATCTGGCACCGAAGGAGCCACCCCGATCTTGGGTCGATGATCCACCACTCCATCTTCATAGCTGTGACCCATTTCGTCCTTTGGGGGACCTACTTTCGAAAGCCTTTTGCTTGGCTTTCCMTGACTGAGGTCTCGACCCCCTTTCTGCACCTCCGGTGGTTCCTAGCCGCCACCGGGAGAAAGGGCGCCCGCAGCGGCGGCGGCAAGGACTCGTCCCTGTATTTCTTGGCGTCGGTGGGATTTGCTCTCAGCTTCTTGTCGACGAGGGCTGTTGGGTATGGCCTCGGTCTCTTGGACTTGTGGCGTTCCTTTGAATTCTGGAAGGAGGTCTGGGGATTGTGGTGGGTGGTTGGCGGTTTGCACCTGGCATACGGCTTGAACCTGTTTTGGTCTTACAAGGTATGCTCGGCATTCTTGAGGATTCTGTCGCATGGCAAGAAGATACAGAAGAAAAAGAATTGAGGAGAAACAAATACGTCGTTTGAGTATTACTGTAAAACAGGATTGAAGAAACAACATCAATAACACCACATCCACCAACGTCACAAGCAAGCGGAAATACTATTGGACAGCAATGAACGGAATCGAACCAAATGTTTTTGTTCATTTAAAATTTAAACGAAGCAACTTCTGCGAAGATTATGACGGCGAAGACTTTTTTCCCTTCACCGTGCACGTAGTAGAATGATTGTTCGCACCACCAAAAATGATTTGCTTGCGAATACAAACCATTTGCCCTCGACTTTAAATTCTAATTGTATCCATAGATCGACAGTACATTTTTTTCATAGCTTATACTTGTATCACTTTTTATTATTAGTTACGAAGGATAGAGTTCGTATTTGTTATATCATAAACTCTTGAATGCACTTATTGTGTGGAATGATTCCACGTAATCAAATTCCTCGGTTTGAAATTTCTCTTTTAATAATCGTCATCGCGGAGATACGATCGAGGAGATTTGGATCTTGCTTTGCGCGCCGTGTCTCCTCGATCACTCATTGATCGTCTGATGCTATCTCGCCGGCTGGCCTCCTGTCGGAGACTCGAGGCCTGCTTTCCGAGACTACGGGTGGACGAGGGGCTCCTAGATTGTGGGCGACGGGAACCAGCGCGCTCAAGGGTTCGACCGGACTTGGAGCGGGATCTTTCAGGACGGGTGCGACTACTGCCGCGCGATTCGCGGTAGGACACATTACCACTTGGATCTTCCCTCATGCTGGCCTTGGATCGGCTGCTACGGCTCACTGATCCTCGCCGACTATTGTTATAGTTGTTGTAACTTTCATCGTCATCTTCGTCGTCGTTATCGTCATCGTTCTCCTCGTAATAGTCCATTCCAACTCTTCGGCTACTATTGCGCTTCCCTTTTCCCCGGTTGCTGTACTCGCTGATGTTGTCGCCATAATCGTCATGGCTATTCCCACCGGTTCGTTCGCTGCGTTCACTAACGTTGCGATCAAGATTTCGACCGCTTTTCGACTTCTTGCCTCCCGCTTTTTGCTTGAGTCGATCGTTTTTGGCCTCCAGTTCCTTGATACGGCGGCTTTGCTCCTCGCGTTCTTGGTGAAGCCTTTCTGCCTCTTCGTCGCGCTTGGCGAGTTCGCGTTCGTAATCGGCAACCTCGTCTTCTATGGCGGTCAGACGGCGAGAGCTTTCGTGGTTTTCTTTCATGATTTTCTTTAGTTCTCGGGACGAAATCTTTTTGCTTGATCTGATCTTGGAAGGTAAGTCAGGTGAAGATGACGAACGGTCGGCACGTTTATCGAAATTGCGGGAGTTGTCCAAGCGTGAAACATCGTCGTCGTCGCTAGCAACGGATTGGTACGACTTCACTGGACGATTGTTCTCAATAGAACGTTTCTTTTCTTTCAGATATCTTTTGGATCGGCTACTGCTGTCTCTAGTGTCCCTATCGCTGAATTTATCCCGGCTTCCATGGCCGTAGTCGTTGGAGATACTGTCTTCGTCTTCGAAACTCTTGCCTCGGCGACTGGACCGCCTTGAGGGTGCCTCCGATCGGAGGTCACCAGCTTCAGATTCCGAAAGCGACAGGTCTGTGGGGTGGCCGCCATTTTCGATATCGCTACCATTGAAGCTGCCCATTTTCCTTCTGTTCCTGTCATTGCGCTTCTTGCTGTTGGGAGTCCTGGAATTCCTCTTCCCATTTCTCGGTGACCTATTTTGGTAGTCATCGCCGTCGTATTCGTCGTCGTAGATGTCTTCGCCCTTGTCACGTGAATTTTCTGTACCTTCATCGCCCTTCTTACGCCCGAAAGAAAACCGCCCGCCCTTCTTCTTGTTGTTATTCTTACCATTTCCCCGCTTGTTTTTCTTTTTGAGATCATGGCCACCTTTCATATTCATGGCGGCACGGCGCTTACGAACGTAACAAAAGCCTCCTCCACCCACACCAGCAGCCAGGATCAGAAGGACGACAATAACGACGATAATGGTAGTACTGCCTCCACCACCCTTTTTGGCTTGGCAAGATACGGTGCAAGGTACAGCGACCCCCGTTTTGGGAGAAAAATCCTTTTCTACCAAGCATGACTGCCAAGCAGAGAATTCGGGTTCGCAGCAGCAAGTGTTGTTCTCATAATCAGAACAAATCCCATCTTGGGCAATACCGCAGAATCCTGGATCTGAAGGGGACGTGGTAGCCATAGTTGACATGAACTGTTGTTGTAGCGCATCGGGGAAGTCCATCTTGAGGGTGCTGACGTCGACCGATGGACACGCGGCACAGTAACCGTCAGAGTCCAAGGCCCGACACTGGACAAATGCTGTCCCTTCGGCATCGCATTTGGATTTCGGTGGCGGTGGTGGGCACGTTCCTTTGCACGGATCGAAAACTCGACCGACCGCGACGGAAGCATCCTCCTCGATCAGACATTTCTGCCAGTCATCGAATGTACTTTTACAGCAGCAGGAGTTTTCTTCGTAATTCTCACAAATGCTCTCCTTGGCAGCGTCACAATATTCGGAAGTGTCTGGTACAATTGTGGTCATGGTTCCGAAGAAACTTTCATACACGGAGTTGGGAAATTCAACGAGGAATTCGCTTGAAAGTGGTGTGCATGAAGCACATTCGCCGGCAGCCTCTTGAATTTGACATGCTAAGAATGCAGTTGATATCTCTTCACATACAGAGGTCATTTTGTCTTAAACTTTGAGCTGCGTCGCTTGCAAACTCCAGAAACTAAATGTGTGTGCGAAGGAGACCTCTTGTATTGTGTCAAAAATGGTGATTGCAGTAGAATGAAGAGTTGGTTCGACGAAAATTCACTGACAGATAAAAAATTGTGATCGTTGTGGTACGGGAAAACAACATCTACGATGGGTAGTAAGTTTTCCAAAACAATGTGAACAGAACAACACCCATGAGATTCGAAGTTTCTTATATAGTGATCGTAGTCTTTCAGCTTTGTTATTTAAGGTTACCTTGGTTTCAAAGAAAGATAGAGATTGAAATACTTAAGGTTCTTCGAGTACTTTTGATTTAGTGTATTTAGTGGAAATATGCAGGGCCCTCCGGAACCAACGCGCGCGCGTCCCCCCTTTGAAATCAAATATCGGGGGTATGATTTCGTGGGTTTTTTTTCCCAAACAATAACCCACGTTTCTAAAACGTGGGTTTTTTTTCCCAAACAATAACCCACGTTTCTAAAACGTGGGTATTTATTCCCAAAAAATAACCCATGTTTTAAAACGTGGGTTGGGTTAACCCACAAATAACCCACGAATAACCCACGAAATAACCCACGAAAAACCCACAAACCTGCTGGGCCTTTCTCCAAATATTAAAAAAAGTGATTAAATAACGTTAATGACTAAAATACTTAACACCCTTGGTTCTCCATCAACCCAGATGACTGTAAATTCGTGGGTTATTCGTGGGTTCTTTCGTGGGTTATTTGTGGGTTCCTGGGTTCTTTCGTGGGTTATTTTTCAAATTAAAATACCCACGTTTTAGAAACGTGGGTTATTTTTCCCAAACAATAACCCACGTTTCTAAAACGTGGGTATTTTTTCCCAAAAAATAACCCACGTTTTTCTAGGGGAGGAATTCGAAAAGGGGGATGTGCGCGTGGGTACCGGAGGGCCCAGAAAGAAGAACCACTTCCGCTTTATTTCGGCCAAGTCACGATCCAAACCAACTTGCATGCGTGTACAAAAATCCTCCGAGAAGCGTAATCGAGGCCAGACACAGTAGTACAAAATTAGTTTCGAGAAACGTGAAATTTTGTGTGATAAATTACGTGGTTGACAGGTATTCGGGAATGACTGTCCCCGCCGCCCCGGCCCCCAAAAAAGATTTCCCTTTCTACAAGATGTGGACCGAAGGCAAGACGGTTTTGCTTCGCGCCATAGAGGAGTGAGATTATTCACTAGCTACTCGGGAATTACCCACAACTACCGTGGGGGGTACGGTACGGTAGCTAGTAGCTAGGGGTCATAATTTAGACCCCTGGGGCTAGCTACTTCTACCGTACGTACTCGGGATTCATGATTTCACTCCTAAAGTACATTCCACATTTCCGTTTCGCAGACTCGTACGAACGACCAACCAACCATGATGTTTTCGTAAAATGATGATATTCAGATTGTTCTGTTTTGGTCGACGGATGCTGCCATGTGCCATACCTACATTAACATGGTTCGTACGGTACAAAGTTCTACTCTGATCATTCTCAATTAAGACAACGGCTCCACCGACATTCTGGTGACCAAAAAGCCCGAAAACGAGTTATATTTAGGAGATTAATAGATTTACCGTTCACCAAAATGGCAATACGACGACACGAGAAAAAAAATGAATGCAATTGAAGGCGATAACACTAACCGATTATTGAAAGGCCGACTTTCCCTGAATCTCTGTTTTATATTATCTGTTGTCATATTGTTGTGCCACTTCTGTCAGCATCCAATCATGATACCCAGAGCGGTTGCCTTTACGTCGACAACGCCGACAACGGCGAGGAAGTTCTGTCGCCATAATGTTCTACAACGGTATCGTCAATGGTTCTCCCCATTCTATTTCAGAGACAGCTTTTCTCATTGCACGCAAGGTATGTCTATTGCTATTCCTCCTGCTGCTCGCCCTCCACCAAGTGTATCACTGGGAGTGGGAAGAGAAAGGAGGGTCCCTGGACAGAAGCAGCAACGAAAGACCAACGAGCACAGAGACAAACAAGCACAGCGTCTTATCGAACAGGAAGAATCGGCAAGACGAAAACGAATCGAACAAATGGACCAACGATTGCAAAAAGCAGCGCGCAGAGATGTTCGGATATCAATCTTGGAAGCAAAAATAGCCCTTGAACAACAAGAGCAACAGAATGGGTCTTCAAATAGCAACGAAGTAGCAGAATCGATTACAGAACCAAATGGCAACAGTTCAACGTCTCAAGACATCGAAAGTGTGACAGATGCGGAAAGAGCCGAGCTAGCAGGTTTGCTTCGCGTTCGGGAGGATTTTGAAGAACAGTACGACCCGTCGGATTTTTCGGAAGAGCACCTAAACTTCAAGGACCTACACAACGACGCATTTTTAAAGTTGGTACAATATTGCGAGAGGAATAGGGGGGACTATGAAAAGAGCAAAACCAGTGAAACGAATAAAGAAGAAAACATCACTAAGGTCTTTTTCTTGGACGGGCCCGATGCGAGGACGGCCTCTGCTCTGATTTGGAAGGGAAATATGGATGCTACCCAGTGCTACGTCGCCAACAGGCATGAATCTACCTGTGTGTGCCTCCGGCAATCTGGTGGTGGCTTGCTCCCCGATGCCAACGTAGTCCATGCAACAGCCTCAGAGGCCCTATCGAAGCCAGCCTTCTCCAACGACAGGAAACAGGAGCAACATCAAGTGGGTGCTTTTGCCCACTTGGATTTCACCGGATATTATTTTGATGGATGCAACGGTTTTGCCCCCCATATCGTCAACATGTTGTCGTCGGCCTTGTTGCGATTGGATCAAGATGACAGTAACGGCCAGAGCTTTCGACAGCAACACCCAATCGTGGTTGGCTATAGTTTGATCGGCGGGGGACACAAAACTCAGGCGACGATGGTCGAAAACGAATTGTTTGTCTCGAGGGCTCTGACCACCATAGCTAGAACAAGGGGAATGCGAGTGATTCAGGCCCTAGATGATCCAACCCGATTTGGCCTTCATCCCGAAACTCCAAAGGTTGCAGCGAAGACCTTCACCACGTGGTTACTTCTGGAGCCGGACGATTCATTTTAAAACGAGTTTGAAACATAAGAACGAACAAGATGGCGTGAAAAATATCGAGAGAAATGTTAATAGCATTCATACCTCTTCCTTTTCTTGTATTAGATCATATGTTCGTCCCAAACCTTCGTCTTTCGCGCATGACAGTGACACAATTTGAATACTGTCGTTGCTAGTGCTGTCGTTCCGGACCCCCGTCGCAGAAACGTTGCAGCTGTAGGTCGACACGCCGTCGGTCGAAAAGATGGCAAAGAATCGGACCATCCCCCGCTTCTCGTTGTTTATCCCAGCACCGACGATGACCTCAACCTGGAGCAAATCTCCCAGCCTTCCATCCCGCCGAATCGCTCGGACTGCCTCTCTGACAACGGCATCGACAAAAAAGGCGTCTTCCGGACTCGCCAACCGTTTCAATACGTTGGGGGGCATGTCGAAACGCCCTAATGCATCCCCCATCACTAGTTTCGTGGTAGAACTCTCGCTTTTCACCAGCATCTCCATGACGCGCTCAAAACTGGACGACGAGACGTCGACGCCGTCTTTCTTCAGCAAGATTTCACCCGGTGCAATTCTACCCGTTTTCCAGGCGCTTCCGGCAGCTTCGTCATCCTTTAGCACCGTCCGAACGACCACTCCGGAGTTTTCTCCGTCTCGTTCCTCGAGAATCATTCCAAGCGGCTTTTCCAAATTTATCGAGTATTCTCCGAGCTCCAACTTCAACGAGGAGGAGCTTCTGCTACTACTGATCCCATCCGACGACAAGGGCGACGCATTTGGAAGAACGAAGGCGGCGGTGTCGCCACGCAATACCAAGAGCAACGTAAACAACAGAAAAATATTCTTCATCATCAGAAACCTCAGCAATTGTGTCGTAAGAATGCGATAAGAAGATAGCTAGACGTTGTCACTGTGGTATTGCTATCTCGATGACAGCACCAGATGATGCTAAAACATCTCGGTCAAAGTTGTTGATGTCCTGACGCGAAAGATCATTGTTCCACCCGACAAACTCCACCAACACAATTGTGCATGCTTGCGGCTTGAGACGCTGGAAAATGAAAGTACGTACGCGTACTCGTACTTAAGCATCATGCTTACAATGGTAAGTCTAGTAGGTTCCGATACGATACGATACGATACGACGTACCAAACGACACCAAGAAAAAACTCGTGATCTGCTACCTACGGTACGTACGTACAGTAACTAGGAATAAACCTCATCCCTAATCATCAATCCTCACGGTGTGGAGACCCACTGGTGGAGACGACATCTCACTTTCACCATTCGTGTTTGAAGCATTCGGGAATCCAAAAACATCTCCCTCCATCAAAAAAATCCTGAGAAGATGCAACCTCTGATCCTTTTCACGACGGTAAACATACCGTGTGTTTCCCATTTTCACATAGGACCAGCAGGTACGAGTATGCTAACTTCTACCTAGACTCTCTGGAATGACAATGATAAATTTCTTCATAATAAAGCTATTGTTCTCGTCCATGGCCGTTGCGAACGGCTGGGCTTTTCGGCCGCATTTAACAAAAACAATCCGCGCGGCGGGGTTGGTGGCAGCGACGAAAGGACAAGCGTACCAGAAACACAACCGATGTGTGCTACAAATGGGCGGGTACTACGTCGAGGCAGAGGAAGAGGAAGCCAAGAATATAATAGACCGTTCGAAAACCCACATGACGTTCGGGATCCGTTGTAAAGAAGAAAAACTTCAAATTTCAATACCAAGTCCATCATCGTCGTCCGGCAATTCCGCAATAACGAAGACAGTGGTGGGGTTGGTACCATTGGTCGACGATGCCATCGACAAGGAAGCCGAGGAGGAAAGTTTTGTATTTTCATTTGACGATGTAAAAGATGACGAAAACGTCGAGCCAACGAATGCTAGGACTGTCTCTCGGCTCATGAATTTATTGTTCCATTCGGAATACGGGGACGACGAAGAATCATCGCCATCGTGGACATTGGTAGAGATAGGGGCCGATCCCATCTTTCCCCTCGCCGTAGCGGAATGGATGGAGGCCGTGGGCAGTGAACAAAAGATCGTTACGAACGTCATCGTGAAGCATTCCGACGAACAACGCTTGCGCGTGCTGGAACACGCCCACTTGTTTTTCAACCAAAGGAAGCCAAAATCCAGTTCGACCCTGACTTTCTCGACCAAACCACTCACGGACGACAGCAACCCTTGGATCGAAACGTTACAGAAGGGAACAAACAATAAAATAGTGGTGTTGATCTCTAACGAGAAGTTCGCCACCCAGCTACTAGACAAGATGAAAGAAAATGCAAATCCCACTGCCAATCCTGCCGGGGATTTTGTGTATAGAACCATTATCCCCTCTACCATCATGAGCAGAGAGAAACTCCTGTTGGATGGGTTCCAATGCCAATCGGTGGGGTTTGGTGACGAGAACGGAGACGATGGATTAGATTTCTGGGAGATTGTACCTATTCGGCAATGACAGGATCGATGTTTTGAATCCTAGAGTATGATTATTATATTCATCACATCAAAAATGACCCACAGAGATGTAATCAGAAGTATTGATTTGGTCCTGACTAACGGTACTTCTTCATCAATTTAAGCCAAAACCTATTATTCGAGTAATTCTTGTGAAAGATTTCCGATGTCGAAAGGTGGAGAACATCATAGAACTAAGAAGTACATCTCGAGGTAAAAACCAGAATTTTGTAATGAAAAAGTCGTAATGTATTCTAATCGTGTAAAAAATTATTGTGAGGTCAATGAATTTAGTCGATCTCGGGCTTGCTGCAATCGTGGCGAAGGATTCGATGCTTGCGATCTCGAGGGACTCGAAAAAGGAGAAGACGACGAATCGCTGTCGCTGGCATCATTGGCTGACTCCGATGTTGTTTCCGACGGAACGCCAACCGTCGGCGTTCGTTCTCCAACCGGAACACGATCGGCTGATTCTAACCGAATGGCTGTTAGCTGAAGCATCTGATTCACAAATCTATTCGATGATTTGATGAGTGCTGTCCGGCGTTCCCACAACTTGGTACTGAGAACACGAGATAAGACGATTAACTCTTCGTTGTTAAGCGACTGGATATCAATTCCACTGTTGTCACCCTTGCTTTGAATTTTGGACAAAAGAGTAACGAGTTCTTCCGTCGTCTTAACAGCCCGTTCGTCTTGTTCATTCTTGTTGACTAGAGGGGATGTTTGGAACAATCCCAACGGATCAACGAGACTTCCGAGGACTGTTCGACCGCTAGGCAGTACCCCGGACCTTAATCTGGCCTCTGTCCACAAGGATCTGGTGTTTGCCGCTAATATTTTTGCGACTTGTTCAATCAAGATCTTTTGGAGGGGAGTTTCTTCTTCGGTCAATAGCACATCAAGCACTTGATCTGCAACTTGTTCGAGCTGATCAACGGAGGTTGTCGTGGAGTTGGCTCCGACTTCGCTTTTTTCGCCTGTTGGGGTTGAAAGAGCACCAGATGCGGTAGTAGATGCGAAGTCACCAAATCCACTCACCAGTTGCTCGATGCGATCTGGATCAACCAGTCTGGTGTCAATGTTGTACTTATCGGGTCCAAAAATAAATGTGTTCAGGGCGTTACCCATAGATACTTGATCAGTCAACAACCGGTTGCTGACGTACGGCAGACATTCCTCGATGATACTGTATTTGGCGTCGTTCGACAACCCGATGCCCTCGAGGACGGAAAACGACTTGGCGATGTAAGCGAAGTATGGCGGGATCTGGAATAGATTTCCTCGTGTCGAAGCTAGATCTTGCATCTGACTTAAGACCTCATTGGCATTGATAGATGCCATCCCACCACCATCTGTCCATTGTCCATAAATGTCGGCCAATACATCCACAACTCCGCTGTCTTCAATAACCTGTTCCTTGTCAGCTGGGACGAACCCAAGTAGATACAAATCTCTAGGAACTTCGGCGTAATCTCGGCTGGTCAAGTGAGCCATGTGCTCGATAAGTGTCAATTGCAGTTGGGGAGGGATGCTCGTTACCATTCCCCAGTCAAGGATGCACAGCTTTCCATCGGGGGTACGAAGAAGATTTCCTGGGTGAGGATCGCAATGTAGCAATCCCATCTCCAACAACATAGTCAGATAGGTGTTCATACAGATCGAACATAAAATGGTCACGTCTGCCTGACTTGATCGGTCGAGACGTTCTCCGTCTATCCATTCCGTAACCAAGACTTTACCGGACGTGAATTCGTCAACTACAGTGGGCGCCAAGACTACATCCTTCAGCGATGTGTTCTGAAGTTGTTCCATGAAGTACTGACCGTTACTGGCCTCTTGCAAATAATCCAATTCATCGACAAACCCAGCACCCCAGGCGTCGACAGTTCCTTCCGTGTCAGTGTTCAAGTTGAATGTTCTCCTTGCGATTGGGGCCGCCTCACGCAGCAAGTGCATATCGAGTGCAATCTGATTGGTAATCTTTGGTCGTTGAACCTTGATGGCCACCTCCTTGCCGCTACCCTTGAGCTTGGCCTTGTAGACCTGACCAAGGGAGGCAGCCGCAACCGGAGATGCGGTTTCGGAAAGTCCCCCCTCCAAAACCTGGTCCACAGGGACCCCCCATTCTTCTTCCAAAATGAGCTTCGCCGTTGCCGTGTCAAATGCTGGAACACGATCCTGCAAGCTAGAGAGACCGCGAATGTAGGCTGGTGACAACAGGTCGGTTCGGATCGACAGGGATTGTCCGACTGCCATTGCATCAATCAAAATAATGAAACGCAGAAAAAGATACACGAATTAGCGGAATAAAAATGTGTCAAAAAACACCAGCTAAGGCGTCGAGCAAGTTTACCTTCCCTTATCACGGAACAGGTCCCCCAAAAAAACTCCGCGATACCAAACGCAAGCCATACTCACTTTTGATAAATGTGGGTCCCAGCTCTGTCAGAAGCTGCGCCAATTCGAGTCCGCGCTGCTCCTGGTTCGAGGTCCACGTCTCGTCTCCACGGAGCTTGTCCTGTACCAGCGCCAGGGCGAAGGCCAGCGATTTGGACGCAATCGTGAGGGCCCGGGCCGCAACCTGCAAAGGTCTGCGGTCAAAGTAGATACGGGCCCCTACCGGATCGTACTTCCCTATGGGGTACGGCTTTCCCGGCGGAGGAGATTCACCCCACGTGAGAAGGGCATTTACCACTACATAGGAAATCACGGTCGTTGCTGCGATAGTTTCTGGTGTGTTCAGCGCACCGGCGGAGGTTTCAACGAGGTCAGCTAGTTTCGTAATGTCTTCGCTCGAAATCCCCAAGCCAGCAGCGCCTTCCTTGATCTTCGCCAGGAGGGGTTCAAGGGCCGCCAAGGGGCTGCCCCCGCTAGCTCCGTCTGTCTTGGCGAGAGACGACAAGAGTCCGACGAAGGCTTCGTTGATTTGCTGCAAGAGGGCGTCCATCTTGGTCAGGCTTTGTTGCAACAATGAATCCAGGGCTTTCACTATTGTCGCAAAGGCTTCCTGTGGATTCACAGAAACAGACTCGGTACCGCTACCGGCAGTCAATTTGCTGGTCAGATCGTTCCAGGAGGCCGATAGAGACGCCGCGGGATCTGGAGTTGAGGAGACCGCTTCAGTTACGACGTCCGCTGCTGCCTTGGTTGCTTGCTTCGCTGCATACAATGGCGAGCCTCCTATTCTAGATGTTGTCGGGTAATTCTGCTTCGGTGATGTGGTGGTGAAGGCGACCGCCGCAGGAAGCATCACCGCAACCAGCAGCCGCCATGGCGCAAGAGACTTGACCATGTTGTTGGTGTCTGTTTTTGGAGTCCGAAAAAGTATGCTTTGCAGATGGCGTTTCTTTGTTCCTCTTCGCGATCCAATTTTTCTTCGGCTTGAAAATGAGACACGTTCAGCGGTGCACCATCTACACTGTTAGGATTGATTGGTGAAACAGAAACAACTGCTACCTGTTGACGTCTATGCGTATCGTACAATAGAACCCTTTTTCCGTAGAACAACTTTCAGGCAAGAGGTGGTGCGTGTCTGATGATTCAGAGTGTTTTAGTTGGTCGTTTGTTTGTACCGGTACGAGGTAACAATCTGGTGCGTTTCAGAAAAGAAGAAAAGGTTGTCCATTATGGTACTCGTACGTACTCGTACCGTAAATTAGCGTACAGTGAAGTGGGTGGGCGTTGTTGCACGTGTAGACTGAGTAGGAGTAACTCGTACGCTGTCCATGATTCGAGAATACGTAAGTTGCGCGGTTCATGGTTTAAAGTCTGATGAGTCCAATATCAAAACCAGGAAAAAATGGTGACGTGGTGAGTCGTGCACAAACCAAGCTTTTCCTCAGTCGTGGTTACATTGGAAAAGATACCGCCCTCTTTCGGTTGGATCGCTCAACTCGCCTGGAATTTGGTTTTTCGTATTGCCATGTAGAAGTCGAAGTAGTCGTATATTGCGTTAGTGGTGCGCAAGATCTGAAAGACGAACTAGATCTCTCGCCCTGCTCGAGGAGAGACAGTTGCCACGGTGTGTCGTGCACGACGCAAAATCATGATGGCCTTCAATTTAGAGCCTTGATGTGACGAGGGATATTATGGCCCCTAACGATTATTGGTCAAATGCTTGGTTCTCCTGGAGTTTGGTCGCGTCGCATTCTTGTAGGTAAAACCTATCAGTCGACTCGAAACGAAACGGTTTGTTTTCAATATTTTTTGAACTTACCGAGTCCTCCTTTGTTCCACAAGAAGCCTCTCCGCTCGCCATTCTTCCCTTCAATATTGAAAAACTCGTCGTACTTCAGTTCCAACTTCTTCCGTCTCGTCTTTCTTTTTTGGTATTTCGGTGTTTCGTTAATTTTTTATGTACGTCAATCAACCAGCCACACAGCGTTTTCAACGAGAATGGATCACAAGACCTACGGTACTCTCAACAACCACTGCTGAATTATACTTGTACAAAACAGAAGAGACAACGAAAGACCAAATTAGTACAGTATCACACTCCGAATATCCCTTGATAGGTTGTTGTTACTACAACAATAACAAACTACTGTACCGATCCGACCCGTTCCGTTGGACGTGTGGATTGCGTTCCGTTTCTCTGGTTCAATTACACGCGTATATTGTAGCAATCTGATCATCGAATCAATTGAAACTTGGAACTTGACAGTCCCCTAGATAATTTTATTTTAATGACAAGCAATATGCGGGTCCCATCCTCTGATGCTCCTGTGAGACTTTCTAAAGAAGATGTTGACAAGAGCTATCGTCAAGAACACGGAGTGGGTGCGACCATTTTGCTAGACCAACCCACCAACCACCACGAGGATCCATTGGAGAACTTATCTACGATTGCCAACGAAATGGTAGATATGACTAAGACCAAAGACCTCCTTGCTCCTACTACTGCCAGCCACACGAAGAAAACCGTGCGAATCAACGACGTGGTGACATTCATACCGTTGCTGACATCTTCCTCGTTCTTTCGCCAGACTCCCAAGCCGAAGACAGTCACAAATCAGGGATATGGAGGCATGATGCGTTCCTTTCGTATCGTCACACCCGCCGCAATCTCCAGGGGCCACAAGACCACAAAGGAAGACGACCTAGTTCCCAAGTCATCGCTATGGTGGACGAAGGAAGAACGACGGGAAATCCTCATTTCCAACCAGAAGGCCTCGCGTGACTTCAAGCGCTATCATCGCGCCAAGATACGAGAAGCCAATCTGATCTATGAGAAGATTGTCATGGATTGTTCGGTTTTCGAGGACGACAAGGACAAGGACGACGAGATTTACCACTTTTTCCGGAACAATCGTCTCCGCCGACGCACGGACGACAACGAGAACATGATCAAGAATTCAAAAAAACGAAAGCGAATGGCAACCACGGATTCAATCGATTGCGATATTAGCACTATCGATGTTGGTTGTAACATTAACCCTCCCTCCACCCCTACAACAGGTGAAACCACAATGTACCTGCCCGACCAAATTCGTGGGTTGGAATGGGGAGTCCTTCCCGATGCAAAACGTTATCGAAAAACACATGCTAGAAACGTCCTCGACTGGCAGGACCGCTTACGGGAGATGAAGGACGGAATTGAGAGGAAGCGACGGCGGAACGGCCACGACTGCGACCAAGAAGACCGCCAAGACAACCAGGACTGCTCGATGTCCTCTTCCGACGAACACGTCGACTATAATCATGATCACGTCCATGGCAAGATCACCAGAAGACTTTCCTATCACCAGGAGCAACAAGAAATTCTGCTTGGACAAAAGGCTATTATTTCTAGCCACAGGTCTTGCGTATTGGCACGCATGCTGGGAAAGTCCGACGCGATTGCTGCTACGGATTCTGTTTCTATCTCGACTTCCAATCTCTGTGAAAAGAGCCGAACGAATTCGCCCACACCATCCCTGACAAGCACCACCGACGAAAGCAACAGTGGGAGCGATGAAGAAGACGATAGCGAAAGCGATGACGACGACAGCGATAGCGACGACAGTGATAGCGAGGAGGATGGGGGTGCAAGTCGTAGCCACTTCCTTTACAGCACAGTGACCACGAACGCGAGCAGTATGCACCGTCGCACCTTCCGCCCCCGGATGATGCCACCGATGTCCTGGCGCTAATCGAGTCGGACTAGTAGCACGTTACGTGCAACCATGCCACGTTGTACGATACTATCTAAGAGTGTTCCTGGGGACGAGCTCGTTCCCGATATGGGAACACTGCATCGCACAGCGTTGCCAACGTTGCATGGTTCTTTGTGCGGATGCACACTGATAAAAATATGGGTCAGCTATGAATGCATATGCATCAAATTTACAAATATATAGCGATGGGAAAATGTTAATGTTATCAAGTTTGAAGTATTAGTTACTTGTATTACACTTAGTGAAGATTCTCAGTTTCCGAAGACAGCATGCGAGAAGCGCGTTGTCTCACCCCGTAAATCAGTACCATACACTACAAAACGTAGAGTAATCGTTTTGCGTTACTTTTCCTACCGTACATTTTTCTCGATGAGTGTATCGGGGAAAATACTCATGAGTATACTCGTACTTGTACTACGGTACTACCGTAGTATTTTGTGTATTTTGTATTTTTTCATTATTTTGATCTTACGGTATTAGTACTTCACGTACGTGGACTTGTACCCATACTATAACCGTGCAGTAGATGAGAACCGATGAGACGATTCGACAGGTACCTCGTAGTACCGGTACGAGGTTGTGGTGTGAAATATCGCGTCCGATTTATAACAGGTTATGAGTCATAATTTTGCGAGCCATTTTTAATAATCAGCTAAAGCTTTGCTTGCTTGTTAATGCTAGCAAAGCACCAATCAGAATTTGAGAATCCATTAGCCGGAAAGGATTTTCTCTTGTCTTACCATACATATGCATATTGAATGGGTTTCTTGCCAGAGAACCTTTTCTGGCTACTTGATTTCTCCTCTGCGCATGATGGAATTTTCCGAAAAACTCATGAACGCAACCTCCAGCATAGGGACCTGTCACTCCTCCAGTTCAACACCTTAACCTCCACTAACAACACAATTGATATACAGGATTGTTTCATTATAACAAGGACAGGGGGATCTGGAAGTCTCCGATCGATTGACTGAGTGGTTTAGAAGAGATCTAAGAAGCAGTGAAAAATTATCGTGAAAATACCAAGAAAGAAAGAAGCTGCAGTGCAACCACCAAAACACCACCATCTCCATATCAGTGGACACCGTATCAGTGAATGTCTACACTGGATCAGCAGACACTGTATCAGTGAGCCTCCTCCATACTATCAGCATCCTCCTCCTCTGTATCAGTGAGTCTCCATATCAGCGACTCGTATCAGCGGACACTGGTGGTGTACTATCAGTGAGCCTCCTCTGTATCAGTGAGCCTCCTCTGTACTGTAGTATCATCAGTTTTATTTCAATACAATTTTTTGAGTTCCAGGTGGAACTAAGTGACAGCTTGAGGCCCCCCTGCCATGCATCAACTGTTCTTCACCACCAGATGGTGTATCAGGGCTCACATGAAGAAGTAGGTGTATTGTTCTCTCTGTAGAGCAATGTAAAATTTGTACCAACTCTGGACCTGTCTACACCTCATTAGGGTTTGTACCTTTTACTCTTACCATACCTGGTATGACCAGTACTGTAAGTGCAGTAAGTTGTCATAAAGAATTGTGACGAATGAAGGTCTGTATGTACCCTGCTCAGGGATTTGACACTACTAGTATTCTACTAGTACTTATTTTATTAGATTCATGACTTTTCTTCTGTGATCTTACTAATAGTAGGCCCCCCAGAACCCACGGACGCATCCCCCCTTTTTGAATTTGTTGCCCAATATTTCATGGGAAAAATACGCACAAAATAATCCAGGAATTTAAAGTCACGATTTGGTTAAGTAGAGGATCCCCAGCAAGGAGGATGTTTAGAAGCATGAAAGTCATCAGTGTTAGTAGTAGTAGCAGTAATAATAATACTAGTAACTGATTTTCTAGGGTTAGTAGAGATAGGCCCAATGGATTTGGAGTTTAGTTGTGCTGTTTTACTACTAATAGAATACTACTAGTAGCTAACCCATGCATTTTTGGAAGAAATAACAGGCATTTTCAAAACATGGTTATTTTGAGGGGAGAATAGTAACCCACAAAATCATGTCACCAACCACCAAATTATTAGATTTGGGGTTTGCACACATCAAATGGGTTCCACTAGAGTGCCCATCAGCAGATGAAAGTTTTTGTTCCAAGAAAAGCCCATCCTTGTTCATCCTCCTTGGGTACTGTCCCTGAAGTTTTCTCCATGTTTTCACATGCAACAGTGTTCTTGGACAACAGTTAATTAGTAAGAAAAGTTCAACCCTAGGGATTATAAATTTTAATTTTACTGCATAACTTTAGTACCATTAAAAACAGCCAAGAACATTTAAGTAGTAACAACGTTATCAAAAATGCTACTCTTATAATTTTTAACTACAATGTCTGGACCAGTTTTCATAAGGATTCTTAATATGCCAAAATTTTCAGTAGCAGATGGATTTCTAGTTTTACTCCTAGTAGTAGTAGTAACACCACAGTAGTAGTAATGGCACAGCCAGTGTAAAATGGTCTGTCCTCTGGCAGATTTTGCTAAGTGAAATAATCCAGTTTAAAATTGTAATAACTTGATCAAAATTAATATTAGGTTGACGTCTAACTCTTGTAACTAGTAGATGAGTTTTTAGTCAGGATTATGAACATATTTTAGGTTGCTATTACCAGAAGAAACTTCTTCTCAATAAACTACTATTTTCTTAGTACATTCAAACTTTCAGAGGAGGTACTACTAGTAAATGATTACTCCAAAAATCCATCTGCTATTGAAAATAATATCATATTCAGAATCCTCATGAAGAACAGATTCAGAAAGTGCAGTCAAAGAACATACGAATAGTAGTATTTTTTTATCAACCTATAGTTTGTTTACTAGTAGTAGTGGTGTTATGCAGTAAAAATGACATTTTAAAAAATCCCCGGGGTTAAAATTTTCATATTCGTGCCATGGAGGGAATGTGGCTTCCAAAAAAGTGCTGCAAAAACTGGTTGCATTGGGCACCCCTCTAAATTTATGACTCCTGCTTCTACTACTACTACTACTGTCAAGGTCTGCCTATTGACAAAGTGATAACAAGAACAAAAAGAGGTGCTGCTAGCTTCCTCTGTGCCAACTTGCCAGGACTGCTGGACCACTAAAATTATAGCTGCCCTTTCCTCAAACTATTGAATTTTATATGTGATGTATGATTCTGAGTATTTGCAATGTTGATGTGATAATTGTAGTACTAGTAGTAGGAGTACTAGTTGGAGTAGTAGCAAGCTTCCTGAGAAGAAGACTACTACTAAAAGCAACTACTACTACAAGTATTGGTACTACTAGCAGTACTAGCAGTAGTGTATCAAAACCACCAATCACCTCATTTCTTGATCAAATTCAGTATCTTTTGACATCATGGACAAACACATCTGCTCTCCTATGTCTGCATTATTCAGAATTTTCATTCTATGGTGGCGACCACAATAAACTTCTTGGTGAATTGATCTGCTGGTACTATATTTGCCATCTATTTCCCACCCTACATTCTGATTTTTAGAGACAGTATTTTGAAAAGTGGTATTTGAACCATTACTAAAGTACTACTACTGCTACTACTACTCTCAAATCAACCTACCATCAACAGTGCTCCAAAATATTCTGTCCAGAGAATTTTCCTGTTGTAACTTCTTCTGTCTATCACTTCTTCTTGCAGCCTGGGAGATAAACTAATAGTACTACTAGTCCCATGTCACTATTTGCTTTGTATCTGTAATTATTGTTAATGGGTGCATGGTATTGGTTGTTTATTCCAGTTGTATTGAATTAGTAGTCATCATATGAATTCTGTAGAACACATCTAGTTCTGGTTTTATATCACTACAGAAGGTAGAATTTCACTAGTACTAGTACTCCCCATCATGCATGGAATAATGGAAACATCATGGATAATGATGTCAGAGTATTAAAAGTACTTCCTCTGTTCCCAAATAAATGTACCTACTAGTATGACTCTTTTTGACTGTTTGTAAAGAGTGTCCTCATTATTACAACTATAACTGTCACAATGACAACTATTATTAGTACTACTAGTACAAGTACTTCAATCTTCCTCACCTGTGGCCTCAGCTCCTGTAGTAGCAATAGCCAGTAGTAGTTGCTGAAAACTTACCATACTATTGGACAACATCAGATAATAGCTACTAATAGTAGTAGTACAAAATACTGTGCATATAATAAGACCACTATCATTGATTTTCAGAGTGGAATAATTTCCAGCATGATATGATTAGCACCACTTTCTGGTTTACTACTACAAACAATGTGGGATGAGGCATGCTTGTCTTTGTCCCTTTCCTTTTCCAATCATATTACACAATGTGTTGTGTCATGTTCATACTGATTATTCTTGCTTGGACATACATCTGGCTGTTGGGTTAGGTTGCAAMACTACTAGTACCATAACCTTGCACAACACAGCAGCACACCAGTTTTGCAATTTATCACGATTTCAGAGCAAAAGAGAACTTCTTGGCTGTTGCATTTCTCACATCACATTGTTTTTTTCTTATTATTTTTCCTCTTGCAAAACTTTCTTTAGATGTTCTTGGCCTAGTAGTACTATTCCTCTTCAGACCACAATGGCATGATGTACTATGAAAATTCAATGAATTAGTGTCACCAGTAGTAACATCATCCACCACCCCTTTGCTGGACAACCATGATAGAGGAATTCTGTTGCTCCACTCAAGTGGTGATGCTGAAAGGAAAAGCAAAAATGGCACATTTTAAAACAGGGCAAAAAATAAATGCAATTGATATACATAACATAGTAATAGTGGTACAGTACTACTACTAATAGTTGTATCCTTTGGTACTCTGATACCATCTTCCCCTAGTAGAACTCCCCCCACAATATACCAGATTTCTTTGACTCTTAAATCTATTTGGAACATGTGCTCATTTGTGTGGTCAGTGCTATAAAAGATAGTGTTGGTGTGAGTAGTTTACTATCAGTAAAACTTCTATGTTACATTCCATAACAAAACCATAGATTTTGGGTCATCCTTTTCACTGAGAAATAGTTTCTCTTTAAACCCTGACACACAGATTGACTTACTTCTTCCTGTTAAAACCACAGCATTACTACCCTTCTTGTGCTTGTTGGTATTCTTATATTACCAAAAAATCCAAAACCAGCTTGAAATTAAAAACATTTATTGGTCATCTGTTTCCATCTCCTAATCATCTATCATTCTTGCGCA